GCAAGGTGACAACATGAGGATACCTGAATACTTTTTGCTTAAGGCAAAACAGGAGGAGGGCATTTGATAAGTAGCTTAAGCTCTTCTGAGCAGAAAGTTTGGTTTCTGTTCTCCTCTGTCCTAAGTAAATCTATTGACGATGTAATCATTCTTCAAAGAGCAAGTGAATTGTGAATAATTTATTCGTGACTTCATGCAAGCCAGAGTGCTTAGCAGATGTGGAAGATGAAGAGCTGAGACTTCAGATGCCGGTAACACCAGCTTCACAGAAATGTTGTTTCCTGATACAGTAGATGTGTTCAAATTACTGTCTTATAAAATGCAGTGGTTGAGTTTCTGTTTTATTAGTCCTTTTATAAAAGATGAGAAACTCTGTCAATCTTGTACTCTGCCCACACTCCAGAATATTTAAATACTAATGTGTCTCCATATCTGCCTTCTGTCTGGTGATGTTTAAGTTGCATTCCCAAACTAAATAATGAAGCCTTAATGCCTATATCTCTGTTTGGGATGGATGGGGAAAAAAGTCACTTTATGGTTTTATTTGTTGACCTTTTGTGATCATGAATAAAGGCGAAAGGATTTCAATGGAGCTTTGTGAGTGCTAGTAAGATTTCCTGCTGAAGAGTGGTGATTCTTTATTTCCTGTCTTCTTAAGTGCTATCAGTAACAAAGCTTCTGTTAAACATTACCAGCACTGTAGAAAGATCTAAGTGTAGGACTCCAAACCGACAGCAATTTTTCAACTACAAGAAATTCCATGTACTAGTTAAAATACTGGATGTACTGTGAGATAAATTCAGACATCCTGACAGTCAGCAATTCCTCTGCCTTCCAGATCCAGAGACATGGATGCTGAAGTGACCATTTTGGGCTTTGTTCATTCATTAAGGCTGGGGAGCATCCTGAGGCTTGTAATATGCCTCCATCCCTCATTATCTTGGATTGTGGAAAATACTGTTCAAGTAGAGTCCCAGCCCTCAGTGCTGTCAGGCAGCATGCTCTATCACACAGAGAAGGAAGTGATTCTACTTCTGCAAGCAGGACGGCAGAAGAAGAACATAACGACATTTCAGAAGAACATACACGTGCAAATAAACCCTTGCAACCAAAAAGATCCTTTTTGAATTGGGCATTCTGGATCGATGCTTTCCAATCCTTCCATTTGCACCTGTCTCATTTAAAGAATGTGGTACCTGCTGAGAGTGAAGGTATGTTGATCTCATATTCTGTATCAACAACAGCTGGTACCTGCCAGATACTCTTGGTAAGTCCTAAGGGGCTGCATTAATTAGGTGAGCTATTCTTTGGACGTGGAAGTATGCAAAATGTCCAACAGCTGATGAGGTAAAACCCACACTATTCTGCTACAAACCAATACAGCTTCTCTCTTCAACTGATTTTGGAAGCTTTTAGACATTGCAGGGGACAAATTCAAAGGAATCAGGATCTTACACAGAACTGCAGAGCAAATATTAACTGGGCCTGAACATTCTTATTTTAGGATTTTGCCCTCAGTGGTTCCAGTTTTTTAATGCAATGAAGCTTGAGGTTGCAATATCTACTACCTTAGCCTAGCTCTCTTTTATGAAATGGCACATGAGAGACAACCTTCAAAGCACCAACACGACTGTGTAAAGGAACTGTAAAGAAAAGCTGTAGGGGGACAAAGAGGAAGGTACCAGGTAATATACCATGCTGAATGCTATATTTACATATATATAAAATTTAAGACTTCCCAAACCCATGCAGTTCTCGAAGACTAAGCGGCTGATCTTTCACCGCTAACATAATTCCATTTCCAAGGGAAAAGCAACTTTTCTGGAAATAAGATGATGCATAACATAATTCCATTTCCAAGGGAAAAGCAGCAAGTGCTGCTAATAGGTTGAAGCCCTACAGCTGCATTTCCTATCATTTCTCAATGCTGCCCTACAGCTGCATTTCCTATCATTTCTCTCGGTAATTGTTATAGAGACCACAGGTCTACCCAGGAGTATAAGGTGAAGCAAAACTAATAGCAAAGGAATCTCTAGGTCTTCCATTGCCTGTAGGTACAATAAAATGGGATTATGAATTTCTGCGTTCAAGTACATTAGTCAAAATACTCAATAGTCTCGGTCGTGCCAAAGAAGCAGCAGCAGCCAAGGTCAATATATGTGTAAAACACGCAATTCAGCAACTATTATTTCGTTATCAAGCACTGACAAAGTCTAATGCTACCAAGGAGTCCACCTCTAGCTAGGAATTTTCAGTACCATGTCCTAATGGGACCATTTCCTGCAAAAGGTGTAGGTGCAGTTTTGGTAGTCTGTTAAAATAAGGTTTTTAAGGAAATGCTCCTGTGCTTCTGTGATCTTAACAGAGGTGTTTCCACCTGAATCTTTAAAACTGGAGCCTTTGCTGAAGGAAATAAGTTTCTGACTAACACTGATCACAGAAATGCTTTCTGTAGTACTATCAGCACACGTCCGGGGACACAGATGGACCCAGATTTGAGGCAGACCATATAGAACAATCAAGAAATAAAAGATTTGAACCCACACTTCCTTGGCTTTTAAAGGTTTTCTCCACTGAAAGAGGGAACTTTCTTCAAAGCAACTAAAACTTACAAAAGATGAGCCAAAGACAAGCCTATTATGCACTCCATATAAACACTATTTTGAAGTAGTCCTCTTAGAACCAAAATGGACAAGCCCTCGAAGAACATTTCCTAATCCTCATGAGGTTTAAATTATTTGTTCCCCCAAGAAAGAAATCAAGGCAGGCCCAGTTTCTCCTTGGTGTAATTCAGCACTGTTCTTTCTACAGTTCTGCAAGCTGTAGCACTTGCACAAGCCAGAAAGGTTCAGAGGACACTGGTCCCGGATGCAGCAAGAAGCTCATACAGCTGCAGGTGGGAAGTGGAGAACTGAGATTTGAAATCTGAGATTAGTATAGCCTGGAAGCTGCTCCCCCATTACAGTGAGTGTCTAAAAGGCCATCCACCAACAGCTCAATCTAATCACCTCTAACTAGGGGATACTGAAGAAGTGACAAAAGAAATCCATTTTCTTATGTCTTTAAACCTAGTAGGGGAATCTCTCACAGTGGAAAGATCTGACAGCAGAGAAACCAATTGCTTTTGCGCTACTGCTACTGGAAGTTTAACTCTCCATACTGCAATGGATTTTAGGCTCTCTTCATACCTTTTTAAGGTTTTATTTTCTGTCTGAGACACAATGTCACAGGCTTCAATCCAATAGAGTGATGTAGTAAGACTAATAAAATATCTAACCTTCCTCCCCGTCTCAAGTTGCTATGTATTCCAAAATTTGGAGCTGCAATCAAGCAAACTGAAAGTGTTCCATGTTAGTGACTAGGGTTATCAGCAATGAAGATAGTTTCCTAGCATCTGTTATTTAATTCTAATTACTTGTTAACCTCTGTGTATGTTTAATAAAGAGCTGCTGGCACTTTGTAGAAAAGGTCAAAACATTCTAATAATTGCCACTTCTGCATACATGTAGCAATCCCCATATTTCTTTTTCCTTGGCTTTTCATTTGCTTAGAAATTGCTGCTTAATTGTTGCTTGTTTGCACCCATCTTAAGAGTCACTTTGTATTACTTATCTCTCTTGAGACAGCACGTGCCAAACCACTATCTCCAACCCATGAGACAAATGTTATATTGACATTGAAGATAAAACTTGGGATATTGAGAATATTTCCATAAATGCCTGGCTAGAGTATTACCTGTGCCACGAGTGATAGAAGGACAATGTTATAATCAGAGGGATCACAACTTCTTTGCACCTTCTTGTCCTAACACCTGGCCAGCTAACACTGACATTTAGTTAGTTCTTGACAAAGAAAGCTCAACTTATGAAAGCAGTGGCTGATTCAAATCGCTGATTCCTCCTGGGAATACAGGCTTTCAGCAGTGGTGAAAATGTGTTGAAATAAAATATTGATGATGGGGATACCGAAAAGGTCATTCTCGCTCCTGAAGAACTGTCTGTGTGTCCGCCTTAGTGAAATTAATTCAATTGCTTCCCTTTGGGACCGATGCAGCCCACCAATGTGAGTTTAAACAGCAAGGTAGGAAAGCTTACACTGTGCAAGCACTGAATATTTCAGCACTCAGAGACAGAAGGCTATCCCTTCTCCTAATTTTGCCCCAAGTATTCCATGGCAAAACAGAATCATTTATTTTCTTATTTAAGAGCAGCAGCATGCAATATCTTAAGAGCTGAGTAACATTCCACACTAAGATCTGCATCTGAAAATAACTGTGTTCTTGCTAACCCGCTGTTCTCTCTAACATCATTCATGAACAAATAAAACCTCCCCATCTCCTTGCCCCCCTGTCACTCTCTTGTCCCCTGCACCTTGCCCCAGCCCTAAGCCCACTGAGCTTGCCAGTTTGTAAGGTTGTTCTCCAAATTGCAACTTTCTACAAGCAGTTAGTCTATGCGCAGGAGAAGCACCGCAGTATTAACTCAGGTGTGGGTAAGGGTGTCAGGGCTGCATCATCATTCTTTGCAATGGGAAATATTTTCATCATAGACTGTTTCAGTGTACAAGAAATGAAGTGGAGAAACTGAGGTCTGGATTGAGGCCCATTTCTACATATAAAGAATCTGACATATAAACAGATTACTGCGGAGTGATAGATTACAGTGCATGCTATCAGCCCACGGGACATCACTTGTGTAAGGACCATGCACAGAAGCAGATGTAGGGCCAGAGAAACTGTGTTTTAAGCACTGTGCCTTCACATATTATCTTGCAAATCATAGAAATGGCCACTAGTGCTCCACCTATATGTTAGGAATATTCATATTTTATTTTCTTTTGCCTTTTGTTTATGACACTTATTTAGACTACAATTGCTTTAGATCAAGGTTTAACTTTCATTGATACAGTGTCCAAGACAATACTTGACCAGTATAGTCAGATATACTAGACATTACTGTAATGCAAGTCATAACACTACCCCACCTTTTTTAGATACTGACCTTCACAGGATTCTCCATGTGGTGAAAACATCCCATTGTCATGGTAGCCGTCTCTGCATTCACAGTGGTACCAACCAGGCAGGTTAATGCAGTTAGCACGGCTGTCGCACTGAACAAAGCCATCTGAGCATTCATCAATGTCTGTTTAATAAGAACAACAAAAAAGAAGGAGAAAATTCACACAGAGGAAATTGCTATATTCATCCGATGGAAGAACAAGTTCTCTGGTATTTCTGGGTTTCACAGAAGTATTTTGATTACCGACACTTGAATTTCCAGATTTATCCAGAGAAAAAGTTTTGAATCACTTCCATAAAAGGACTTTTGCTAACAGTGTTGGCCCTGCTAACAGTGGAGGTTCTGCTAATCCCACTTTATTGTTTACATATTAACGACTCATTTTGTCACAATGCATGATAGGTAATCTGACATCTGTGTAAATTGCCCACAGCATGAAGAAAGGAATTGGATCCCAGTTCGAATAATGTTAACCCTTTGAGTAGTGCAGGCTGCCTGATAAACAAATATTGTTTCTAGGAGCATATCAAAATATTAAATATTCACTCTGCCCCTTGCTTATGCTCTTGGTGACACCGATTTTAGGTTAGTAGGGCTTCTCTACTTGACTTACACCAGCACCTCTGACTCTCAGCATAACTAACTGCAGTCTCCTCTCTCACCATCAAAAAAAGCAGCTAGGATTCCCAACAAATGCTTAAACCCTAAAGGTGAAATGCAACACATTCGCCTCCTCTGATAATTCCTTTGGGATGTGTGTTTCTTAAAAGAACAACTTCCACTGACTAAACTTTACAGTAACAACTCACCGTAGAATAGATTTCTGGACACACTCGCTAGATCCGAAATCCACCAAAGCATGTTCTGCAGACACCTGAAGTCATGGACTCAGCAGAGATGCAGAGAACTTTGTGACATGTTCATTTCCAGTGCCTTCAGTTACGCAGTAAGCCGTATTAAGGAATAGGTCCCAGAGTATGAGTGTTGTTAACAGTTAGGCAATATCAGGACTATGGAGTCAAACAGGGATAAAAATGTGTCCTTCCTTACCAGATTCATCATATTATCACTGTGTTTTATACCATACTCATATCTATTTGAGCAGCAAGTTGATCAAGAGGTGCCTGTGGAAATGGCACAGAGGGAGACATAACACGCGCAAACTGCCTTCAGAAACAAAAAGCTCTAACCTCCCCGCCCCCTGCCATGAGTTTGAATAATGAATAAACACTCAATGTACTGGCCATTCTGGCCAAACTAAAATAACAAATTAAGACTCAAACTCTTAAAAGTACCTCAGCAGTTGATCTAGTATCCTCCGCGATGCAGATATGAAGAAGAGGTGTGATGTGACCACTGAGATATATCTAAAATATGTCAAAATTCTCCTCACAGTCCCTGTTAGCTCCCATTTATGTCATCTGTTATTTTCATGGGAGAAAGTGCAAACTGGCTAAGAAAATCAATTGTGAGCTGCAGTAAGATAACAAATCTCTTTTCTGAGAATACTAATGTGTGCATAGATAAAGATACACTCGCTCTAGTGTCTTATGAAATCTATTCAAACACAAACTAAAAAACCCCAAGGCTTCCTTATCCATCGAAAACACTTTGTTCCACATTTGAAGGTAAGAAAATTATTAAGTACGTGGGGGACACCTGCAAAAACTATAAGGTATTGCTCAGTCACCCACATTTGGTTTTGAGTTGCATTTTTCTTATACATGCCAGGGGGGGTAGGTGGGATGTGCTCTGGGTATTTTATTTACATGCCAAATAACATCTCTTTGGAATAACTGTACAACCAAATCATGAGTGTATTGGTTGTTAAAAGCTTTACAGATTCTTGACGAAATTCCATTAGAAATTTCCATTATTACATCGCAATCTGATTTTCTATCAACAGTCTCTCTGACCAGGTGTGCCTGGTGTACATTACCAGTATTTATGATGAAGAAAATTACCTGTACTCCTGCTGGAATATTGCACCAAGCATACATTTTGCCGCTTTGTGTACCACAAATAAAGTCGTAAGTCTCTATTGGTTTAAACCACAGAATTTTCAACTCCACTATGAATTCCAGGATAATCATCTAAGTAGTCCTGCTGCAGGACTGAGAAATGCCAAACCTTTACAACCTTCCGCTGTTCAGTGTGTCTCTCTCTAAATCAGTATAAACTCTGGCCTTTTTCTTGTGAGCAGCCAGGAGCCAGTGAGACCTCAGAGGTGTTTGAGAGATCAGAGGAAGATCAATGAAAATTATGTTACTGTAGTGAGAAAAGGTTGGTTTGCAGTCTGTGCCTTATCTACTGCTATTCACTCACATACCCGCAGATTACTTAAGAAAAAGGAAAGGATAAGAAGAAAGGACTGCAATCTAGAAGTTCCCTTACCACTGGGGAATATGACGCCTGGGAGACAGCTTGCCTGGCAGAACAGAATCTAAGTGACCGTGCTAAACGCTTGGGATCACCTGGTCAGTACAAGATAACTTGTTGGGCTTGGCCAAAGCTACAAGCCCTAGAGAATCAATGAAGCATGGAAACTCAGAGGCTGAAAGAGAAGAGCTGTTGTTCAGACTCGATATGAATCTTCATCCTTGTTACTTAATAACATGCATTAAGACACTGGATGGCATATATTTCTTCTTTGGGAAAGCGGAATGTATTTATTGGTGACGAGGTGGAGAAAAGAGTGTTATTTAGGCCAAAGTAACAGATATGAATTAAAGAAAGTCTGTGTTCCTCTCTTCAGAACAATTTATTTGTGACTCTGTAAGCCTTATAATTATAAGCACAGTATTGCAGGCACAGGCTGAGTGCATTCTGATGAACTCACCGATTATTCAGGAAAAACAAGCCTTGAATGTCACGTCAGTATTGGTAAACTGACAACAAAAGCAGCTTTTCTGTATTTATTTGCAAACTAGCTGACAAACCTGTATCACAAGAAATATTACTTGGGATGAAATGCTTTTACAGATGCCAATAAACAAATAAATACATTCTTCTGGTTTTGTTATGGCTGCATTCAAAGTTGAATGGAGTTATGTAAGAAAGCCTATCATAAAAAGCGTGGACAGAAGACACTGTTGGTCTTTAAGAAATGTCCTATTCTTGACAGATTGATTGCCTGAAACCATTGCATTGGAACACCATTGCTGCACCAATGCTGAATAATCCATTACTCCTTACATGATTTTCCAGCAAACAAAAGAAATCCAAAACAATTCTCCTCGCCACTAACTTTTTAGGCAAATGACATTTTACAGCATGTGCCAGTGGGCTTCAGAATATAGATGTTCCTTATGCACAGCATTTTGTTCTAAATCTCGCAGCTAAGGCTGATCATTAATTCTAGTAGAGACTTGCTCTGTAATGGGACAAATATAACTGTGACAACTTTGTTAAACAAGAAAATGCAGCAGAAATGTGTTTTGCTGAGCCAAAGCACTGATTTCATGGAAAATTTTCTTGACATTTGGATAAAAGGATTTCTATTTTCAAATGGGCATAGCATGGCTCAGGAAGTGCTGCAAAAGTATCTACAACTCAAATTATCTTATTAGTATGGGAAAAGCAGCCAGAAATAATTTTTCTCTGTCCTATGGTGAAACATTCTCCTATGAATCATCTTGCAGCTGCTCAGTCAGAGGTGTGAGCTGACAGAAGAAAAACTGATTGAAGTTTTGCTTGGCCGGTGGCTATGGTATATCAGTGGGCTATATGGAACATTAACAGCACTAATGAAGTCCTGTTTGATGCTGTACTAGAAAGGCACAAAAAATGAAATATTACTCTATAGAAGGAAGTTACTGAAAGGCTTTATATTTTCACTTATGCAAAAAATTAAACAAAATGTTTAAGTACAAGGAAAGGAGGGATGTATTTTTTTCAATAGCAGGTGATTACATTTTTAAGCAAATAGACAAAACAGACATCTTATTCTGAGTATGCAAGTCCACTCTTTAAAGGGCTATAAGCAGCTGCGGTGAAGTGGGGGGAGAAGAAGGGGCTAAAAAAAAAAAAAAAAAAAAAAAAAAAAAAAAAAAAAAAAAAAAAAAAAAAAAAAAAAAAAAAAAAAAAAAAAAAAAAAAAAAAAAAAAAAAAAAAAAAAAAAAAAAAAAAAAAAAAAAAAAAAAAAAAAAAAAAAAAAAAAAAAAAAAAAAAAAAAAAAAAAAAAAAAAAAAAAAAAAAAAAAAAAAAAAAAAAAAAAAAAAAAAAAAAAAAAAAAAAAAAAAAAAAAAAAAAAAAAAAAAAAAAAAAAAAAAAAAAAAAAAAAAAAAAAAAAAAAAAAAAAAAAAAAAAAAAAAAAAAAAAAAAAAAAAAAAAAAAAAAAAAAAAAAAAAAAAAAAAAAAAAAAAAAAAAAAAAAAAAAAAAAAAAAAAAAAAAAAAAAAAAAAAAAAAAAAAAAAAAAAAAAAAGGACAGCATCCCCATGCAGAAAGTGAAATAGAGTCTCATATGTGTGATGGTCCAGAGCAAATGGCCTAATCCTGGCCCTGCTCCAATTTATGGCACAACTCCCATTGACTATCACGGAGGTGGCATTTTCTCTGTTTTGCTCTTTCCTTTTCAAATAAACAGCACAATTGCACATACCAAATCTGCCACCCCACTGAGACAAGTGGCCAGGTTTCGAACAGAAAGTAATACTGAGACAGTCGCTGGAAGTAACCTTCACCCCACGCTGGAGAGCAGCTACACAGCTGTACCGTAGCACTTCAGCACCGCCTGCTCTGGCTGTGCTTCCACCCTATGGCATTTGCATGGCAGGAGATTTGCGATTTCGGCTCTCGAAACACTGGCTGGAGAACACGCACCTGTGAGACTGATGAGCCCACAAAACACCAGGAGCATGGGGACTCTCTCTACCCTATGTAATTCATGGATGCGCTCACGACAATACTGCACATACCCTATTGCCACAAAACAGGGTAATTGATTATGACACACTTGTGTTGCACGTGATTTGGTTTTCAAATATTCAGGTTTTCTCCTGTGCGTTTTTCTTAAACTGAAATCAGTCAGCCTGGTTATTTCCATTATTTTGTTACCCATTTTTCAACTGGAAAAAACTTCCAATTTTTTTTGCTAACTGAAGCCCCACTCTAATAAAATAGA